ACTTTCCCCTCTCCAAGTGCTTCTATTACTGCGAAAATTATGTTATTTTTGAGTTTCTCATAGCATTCCGAGATGTTTTCTAAAATTTCATTAATAACCTTCAGGATCCTTCCTGAAGTTATAGACATAACTTCAGGAAGGATCTTGTTCGGACTTTAGATAATATAATGTAATTTAGATGTACTAAGGTGTTGGTTGAACTAACAGATTACATATGATATAAATATACTACATAATGAGAATAAATTACAACTGTAAATTTTTATCTACTTTATTTGAAGTTTTCACCTTCAAATTGGAAGCACCTTTTATTATAAAAAATTCAGAACCAATAAATGCCATCTCCAAGCAACACCATGTAGATCACGTTATAAAATTTTTCAATTGGCCACGTTACTTAATGTAAAAATGAATAGCTGTTCTGATGAGGCCTATTAGGCCGAAATGCGTATAAACAGATACATAGACGTTTTGCACGTGAAATCTAAACTTTACTGTCTTTTTCATTTTATTCGGATCTAGTCTGTATGAGTACAAGAAACCAATTTGCTAAGGATTTCTGCTTAGTTGAGGAGACATGTCGTGGAATGCAAATTTTAGATTCCCCATGTCTTATTTAACATCTTTATCAACGTCTGTTTACCTTGCAATTTTTAGAAGGTTCAGATTAAAGCAGAAATCTGAATTGGTTTCGAAAACTATTTTACGGATTTATTTTCGGATGTCGCTATTGCGTCCATATCGAAGCCATTTTAATGTTGCTTCTTAAAGACAGAAAATATTTATTTTTAACGTTGAGAACGCCTATGAATAGCTGTTGTGATGAGGCCTATTAGGCCGAAATGCGTATAAACATATACATAGACGCTTTGTACGTGAAATCTAATCTTTACTGTCTTTTTCATTTTAATGTTTATCTCTTCCTTTCTGTCACACACACAGACACATACATTATTTATACAAACTTATCAGTCCATTCAATTATAAAGCTTATAGAATGGTAATATTGTAGTGATTATTATATGGCGATACTGCATCCTTCATCATGACCATTGATAATAACATATATCATAATGTTATGTTGAAAACAAAACAAAACTAATTCTAATCAAATAATTTAATTTTGTTTGCTTCACTTTAGCAATTTAATAATTTAGATACGTTATAACATACTAATGGATCTAAATTGTAATTCCAATATTCAAAGCCATTATAAAAAAATATAGCAATTATGATTTACTATAATTATACAATAAGACTTTATATCACAAAATAATGTCAGTCATTTTTTGCACAGTTTTTTGTAAACAAACATGTTAGGTTAGGATAGTATTACAAACAAAGAAATCAAACAATTGGTTTATTATTTCTGAACATAAATAACAATAAACTGCATGTGAACATATAATTAAGATAAAAAATACCAAAAAGTCTATTTATTGAAAAAAAAAAGAAATACGAAAATACAACAAAAATGCATCAAATCAATTTTTTAATTAATTATTGTACCTCTTGGGATCACAGCTATGAAAGGACACTTGGGATCACAGCTACGAAATAAAAATTCATACTAAAAACGCGAATCAGCCGTAGGAAGATTATCTGCAACTTATCTTTAAGTATCAATATACGCATAAGAATTCTTAGAAGTTACATATTTGTGTCCTCCTCTATAGAGAAGAAAGCTGGAGCCTTACAGAAAATGCCATAAAACGATTGGAGGCATTTGAAAAGTGGGGCTACCGACATATGTTTAGGGTCTTATATATACACCACACAAGTAACATAACTATTCTCCACAGGCTAAGAAAAGACAAAAAAATTATTAACACCACTACAGAAAATTGGCTTACTTCGGTCACGTCATGCGTAATGATAAATACCGACTTCTACAGTTGATTCTACAGGGCAAGATTGAGGTTAAGAGAGGAGGCCCAGATTTGTAAACGTTGTTGAATATCTTTGCGATTATTGCTATTGATTCGTTCTCCAATAGTTTGAGTAGTTCTGCTTGTATATTTTCAGAGCCTGTCGCTTTGCCTTTAACTGTGGTATTGTGGAATAAACTTCCTGCTGGAATACTTCGGTCACATTATGAGACACCCTGAAAAATATGATCTTTTACATCTGATCATTCAGGGAAAGATCCAAGGTAATCGTGGTCCTGGTAGAAGAAGAACATCATGGCTGAAAAATCTAAGGCAATGGTATGGAAAATCAACTACATAGTTGTTTAGAGCTACTGTCAATAAAGTCACGATTGCGAATATGGTAGCCAACATGATATCCAACGATCGATAACGGTCATGAAACTAGAAGAAGAAGAAGCTGTAATATTCTTGGTCCATCATTTACCTCTTCTTCTAGCTCAAAAGTGTTGTCCTTGTCCAAGATAATGTTTCCGTCAGAATCAGTTATATATTGATTGATGTATTGATTGTATAGTCTTGTAAATTTAGTGAAGTATACTGATCATACAGTACTTAAATCAATACATTTCCTAATGACTATCCAAATTATTGGCCGAGGCCATCATTCATATCGGAAATATGTTTTTACATTAAACAAATAAATAAAGAAATACTTGACATCTACATTTATACTTTTGTAATTTTACATATTATAATTTCTTGAACTATATATATATATATATATATATATATATATATATATATATATATATATATATATATATATACATATATATATATATACATATATATATATATATATATATATATATATATATATATATATATATATATATATATATATATTGATGGTCCACAAAAATGCAACACTTTGTATACGGTTATTTATTTGAATCGTAAGTATTTTTTTATAAGTCTTCTAAAAATATATATGTGATAAAGATTTTAACTCGCCATCTTTTTTTATGTGAAGATTTATTCTTTTTTTCAACAAAAAAAAGAAGTTAAGTTTGTTTCTCTGTATTTAACTTTAATGTATATGTAATCTTAGTCATTTGGGATTGTTTTTGATTTCCCCAAAATATTTAAAATGCCAAAAGTTTGCTGTCATCGGCAATTTCATCATTTAAGCTTAAGCGACTTCAATAAAGGACACATTGTAGGCATGAAAGAGGTCTGTTTTTAGCATACGAGAAATTTCACGAAAAGTTAAAGCTAATCCTGCTAACGCTGTTAAAAGTTTTGAGGTGGTGGTTCAAGGCCGTGATTTGCGATATCTTAGACTTCTTGCTCTTAGAAATACACGGGACATCAAGAAAGAGATGATTTAGTTGTTGCTACAGGAAGAGTAGTTTTAAAAAGAACAGTTAGTCAAAGGTTACTGAAAATAGGACTGAGAGCCTATCGTCTGCTTTTGATGTTAGCTTTGCGCATCATTAAAGCATTATACGCTTAGAATGGTGCAGAGCTCAGCAACACTGGAATGACCAATGGCATTTTGTCTGTTTCAGTGATGAATCTAGGTTTTGTTCGGGTGGTTCTGGTGGGCGCATACGAGTAAGACGTTTTCGAAGTTAAAGACGAAATATAGACTTGGTTTTTGAACGTCATTTATTAAGACAACCAAGCATTATGATATGGAGAGCTATATTTTTGGGACGCAGATCACCTTTAGTTATTACTAACGGTACTCTGACGGCTCGACGATATGTTGGTGAAGTACTGCAACCTGTTTTACCTTCCTATTACTAAACTATTCCAAATGCTATCCTTCAACAGAATAACGCAAAACCATATATTGCCCATAAAACCATGAAGTTCATATAAGAATCTGGTACAAAGAATTTGAATTTTCTATCAAGATTAGCTGATTTGTTTCGGACGAAATGGACAAAGACTGCGGACGAAATGGTTGGATAAGGAAAAGAAGAAGGATATAGAAATGGCTGTGAGATTATTTGGATACGGAGAGCAAAATGATAGAGGAGGTATGCTACTAAATTTCATAAACACATTTTACAAAACGAACCAACAACGTAAGTGGACGTAGGCTAGTCCAATATGCATAACTAAAAACGAAATTGATATTATAATCACAAACAAAAAAATATTATTCTAGATGCTACAGTAATTAATAAAATCACTCTTGGAGTGACCATCGGTTGGTTAGAGCAAATATATTAATTAACATTAGAAGAGATAGGAGAGCAATGATAACGGAGAGGCATTCTAATATATCGAAATCGACAGAAGATAGAGTAGCTTTTCAGAATCTCATAACTTCAAAACTTAAAGAAGAAGAATATCTAAATAAAAATCACTAAGATATAGAGGTGACAAAATATAAGTAAAAAGAAAAAACAAGGAGAACAAACTCACCCAAGCTACTAAAGATCTTATAAACAAAATAAGAGATGTATACCAGTACCTCCTTGGTAGTTATTATGCAGAAAAATTGTTACAGAGCCTCTAAACGGAATAAATAACCTTAATTTCTTGGTTTATCTACAGAAGCAATAAAAATTATCACAAAACCTACTTTTACGTAAAACGAACGCCTCAGAACTAGGCAATATTCATTACTTAACGTAAACATCGTCCTAGTGTATACAGCAGTGTTCATCTTTGTTCAACCTTTTCCCTCTCTGTCATTAATCGCCGAGTCTGTGGCGCATACGAAAGCTCATGAGCAACGAAAACGCGTGTGCCGTGGTGCCGATCGGCTGTGTAAAATCTGCAGAGAAAGTAGTGGTTTGGTTAGTGCTTTTACTAAGGGTGCAAAGTGTAACACAGGGTTAAATTCGGGACACACCCCATATACAGTCAGTGCTTCACTTGAACGCGATCTGCGATGAGCGACATCCACGTTCCAATCTAGCGTGCGTTGCCGTCTTCGATGTGAGGGTGAAACAATACAATTTGACAGTTCCCGGAAAGTGCATGAGACTTTAAAAAAGTGATTAAAACCCTTTAGGTTTTGAATTTTATCACTTTTAGATTAAAGATTAATGGAAACGGGTCGTTCTAGGCCCGAACTGCCGGGTATATCAAGTATTCAAACTGGAACTAATGGAATTAGAAAATATAGTTGCAAATACCGTTTATTTAAAAGCAAGAGAGGGTATGTTTTGTAATGTAAACAGAGTAAGTAGAGACTTCAGTTACTTTATTTTGTAGGTGGTTCCGATAGTAACAAGGGAAAAAGCAAAAAGTGGAGGAAAATATTGCAGTTTCCACATATCTCACAGTGTATTGACCTTATCAACAAAATAGGCAAGTACTTCCAAACTCAATTGTTGCATGTATTTTTAAAGACTTGACGGTGTTAATTGAGGTTAGATCTCACAAATATTTATTTACTCTGTACAGATAAAACGTTTACAAAACATAAATTATATGTGTATTTTAAGTGTTTACATTGGTATTTATTGTGGTATTTGCCTTTATTAATGCATCGCAGCTGATTAAGGTCGTAGTGTGGTATTAAAAATAGTTTATTTGCGTATGTAGAGGTACTCAACTTACCTGGAAAGGGGTACTTTAAACGAATGGTATTTGACTATGAGATGTGGTTAATTAAAATGAATGTTTTGAAATTAAATAAAAAGCACACCTACATTTTCATTTATTTTAAAAATAATTAAAAGTGAATCTAAATGATCCATAAGTTTCTTATTTATTGGATTTCAACATTACATACTATACATTATTTGTTTTAACGTGTTTATGTCTTCTAAAAGAACTACTGTGCAGTCTTTATAAATCAGCAAGCATTTATTTTGGTTACCATTTAGTGTCACTAAATTTGGTACCAATACTTTGATCTAAGTGGATTTTTTAATTTACAATCCTCATAATGGAAATCTTAGTTTGTATTGTGCTTTGTTTTTTTATTCTTTTTCACTCTTTCCATTACACTTTTTTCTCTCCTCCTTTCACACATATTTGAACAATTACCTATTTCAATTAAGTAACTAAGTATATGCTTGGAGAAATGCTTAAAATGATGTGCTGTACAGGACAGTTGTATTGGGATGTCATTCAAATTTATGAATCTATATTCTTTTATTCCTTCCATTCCTGTATGTATTGTCCTTCATTTGGTACATTTTTATGATTTTTATGTTCAAAAATTTTTTAATATACTTAAATAACTTTTACATTTTATGGCATTTATTTGCCCCATTTATTTTAAGAAATTAGCATGAATTATAACAGTTTAACATATTTTTGGCAAAATCTTGTCCTAAATCTAAATCATTTGCCTATTTTCCTCATAATTAATTGTAGATTGTGATTCTTTGCCATTGTCTTACAGTACTTTGAAAGTATTAAATTTTTTATGTCAGATTTTTCCTATTTTACTGGTTTTAAAGCAACCTTCAGAAATCATGTCAATATAATATTTTCTTTTTGTTTTCGAATTAAGTAATGATAAAGTAATTCACTTAAGTTGTTTAAGTATATCTGCAATAGTCACTTAAGATCCCTATTTTTACCTTCCGAAACAAGACATTCTTAGATGTTGAGATATTTACATTTACATCTGATTTAGAACAAAAATCAAGACTTTTCTACCAGTATGAACTTTATATATTCTGAAAATATCAATAATCCTTGAATATGTTAGTTGCAATAAATGTCACTATACTAATTGCATTTTGTAACATATTTGAACATTTGACAGTTTTAACAAATATGTACTTACCTGTTGCCATAAGTTTCAAGCGGCTTATAAATTAGTTCATAACTACAAAATCATTCATTTCCTTAAATCTTGTAGAATTGTGCTTATAATTATATCACTGTATATTTTTGAATCAGAATTATTCATTCTCTTCACATCTTATAAAAATAGATCCTTCTTATAGAAGCTTATTATCTTTCTTAGCCAACTGTGGCCTTTAAGATTTTGCTAAAATATTTTGATGACATCTATTGCACCAGGAATTACACAAATTCTTACACAACAAACTTTTTGAGCTAAATTTGTTTTCAGCCATTTGCATATTGAAATATTTACTTTCTACATCAATAACTTACCTTTTTAATAAGTTATTAAGTAGTAATATAGTAGTATCAGTGAAATTTAAGATCATAATACCTAGCCAATTTCATACTACTTTCTGTTAAGTTAATAACACATTCTATTCAACTATTACTTGGAACTTTATTATTTTTCTTCTTCTTCATCTTCTGGAATCTAAACCTCCAATTGCATGGTTGTCACTTCTCTAATCTACCACTTGGACTACCTATTAAATTTACTACTAATATATAATATAATATAATATAATATATGTATATAATATAATATAATATATATATAATATATAGTAAAAGAAATTTGTGGTTCACCTATTTCGCTATCAAAGAGAGGTCTTCTGACTTCGTCATACTGCTGTAGACATATTGCTAATTCATATACTATTTTTATATTCATATATTTGCTTTTCCGTTTGTATGTTTTTATTCTATCAACATTTACCTCTGTAAAAGTCTACATTTGTGATCCCTAGCAGTGCTTCTTCTTTAAGTTCCATCTTCTATCGAAGGTTGGAAATCATCATGGGTATGAGGACCCTGTTGACCACTGCTCTAGATAGTGACCAGTAGTGCACATTGGTTAAAATTGGGATTAATAAAACACTAAGAAGAAATGGAAATAAAGAGAGGAGTCAGGCAAGGCTGCATTCTATCACCTCTATTATTTAACGCCTATTCTGAAGAGGTAATTCGAGAAACTCTGGAAGATGAAACAGTCAGCATAAGAGTAAATGGAGTCTTAATTAACAACATCAGATATGCAGATGATACAGTAATAATAGCCGATAGTTTACAAGACCTGGAAAGACTCATGAGCAAAATAGTCATGTGTAGTAGGGAGTACGGACTCTCTCTTAATGTCAAAAAGACGAAGGTTATGAAAATTTGTAAAAACAACTATAATACTAACGAAATCTTGATAGTAGAGGGCCAGCAGATCGAAAGAGTAAAAAAGTACACTTACCTAGGAACACTTATAACAGAAAATAATGACTACACGGCAGAAATCAAAGTCAGAATCGAAAAAGCACGTTCTAATTTTATAAAAATGAAAAAGGTCCTATGTGGCAAAGATCTAACATTAGCTCTTAAAGTACGCCTAACAAAATGTTACGTATACAGTGTACTATATTATGGAGTGGAATCATGGACGTTAAATCTAGATACCATGAGACGACTTAACGCCTTTGAAATGTGGACCTATAGAAGAATTATGAGGGTTTCCTGGGTAGATAGAGTTACAAACAATGAAATACTGAGAAGAATAGGCAAAGAGAAGGAAATTGAACTTACAATTAAAGAAAGAAAGCTACAGTATCTCGGACATGTGATGCGGGGCGATAAGTATGGCATCCTGCGACTCATAATGCAAGGAAAAATAGATGGCAGAAGAAGCATCGGAAGAAGACGAATTTCATGGCTGAAGAACCTGAGAGAATGGTTTGGATTCAGCTCAAAACAACTATTTAGAGCTACTGCCTCAAAAATTAAGATAGCTATGATGATTGCCAACCTCCGTAGCGGAGATGGCACCTGAAGAAGAAAAAAACACTTAATATTGTTCAAACATTTCACGGAATTGTAATTTTTAATGAATGCTTTGAAAGCAGGCAATTCCATAAAAGAAAAATATACTTATATGGATTGAGATATCTTTGGTTCTAGTTTTGTTATCAATACATGTTGGTTGTTTTTTAATATGAATCATCTCATCATATACCTTTTATTATAATTTGACTCTCTCCAAAATTGGTTATGGCAAATGGTTATTTTCCAATGAATACTTAGATATGGCTGTATTATTTGGTCTATATTTTCTTATGATGTTTTCGTGGCAATAATTCGTCTTATTATTTGACCAAATTTAAGCACATCTAAAGTCTTATCAAACATTTTTACTCATACATCATCATAATCAGTGTAACTGTACCTTTAGGTCTGTCATGTTATGATATCGTCATATCTGTCATGATATCGTTATATCTGTTGTCGTAATAGACGCAACTACAAACTATTAATGAAAATTTATGTCTGTAAAGTTAGCATAATCATTTTATAAGGCCGAATTCAAACTAACACTATAATTGATTGCTAATTTATTACGGAAAGAAACAAATTATTGCTATATAGCCGTTATCCAGGGTTCATCTTGTTGATATAAATAATACAATCTATGTTAGTAATTATCTAAGTTGTTACATATATGTATTAACACAGACTATAGGGAATACTAGATACACGTGTATAAAAACTCAATCACTGTACATACGTCTTACCTCGTATTAATCAATTTTATGCTTTTCAGGAAAAATTATGTATTTTGTAATTAAGATCAGATCATAAATGGTTTTTATTTATTTAATTTGTTTATGCAGTTTAGTGTTGCTCAAAATCGGTCTTGGTCTTACAGTATTGGTCTTGTTCTTGTGTTTTCGCAAGACCACGACCAAGACCGCCTAATTTTAGCAAGATCAAGACCAAGAGATTTAAACAAGAACAAGACTAAGCCTGCGAGACTCTTGCGTCTTGCAGTTAGGACTGGAAATTCAAATTGTCAAGTTCAATTGATTTACTGCTGACTTGAGCAAGTTTATAGGTTTGTTCCGATAATCCATCAATAACAGGCCTACAAACAATCACACCTTTAGCTGTTCGATAAGTAAAGTACATTAGGGAACTTATGCCAAACGATATCGTATTCGGAGCAGGAACACTTTTTCCTCTTGTTTCCTCAGAAATACACGTCTTTTTATAGTAGGTTGGCCACCAATGTTGAAAATATAGTATATTTTCTGAGCTAACTTCTGGGACTGTAAACTTATTTGTCCTAATACTCGAAGTAATGATAATTTCGATTATTTGGTGTAAGGTGTATACCCTAGAGTTTATACCTTCCCCATAAGAGAAAACAATGATCATAGCACTGTCATAGGTGGTGATTTCAACGCAAAAATGGGAACACAGTTAGATGTGTGATAAATATACCCGTGGTATAGATAAATATGAGATAAATATTCACTGTTAGTTGCCTCAAATAGAAGGTTTCCTGTACTGGAATCATGGGCAGTGGAATATTTTGCATAATTAAAAGCTATTGCTAGCACATGGGGTTCTTTCGTTTTTGTTTCTTGGTTATTTTATCTTTTTAATTTATTGTAGAATTTTTTTGGTCACCGCTTGTAAATCATCAATTCAGCAGCAACGTTTCTTTTTGCTGCATTACTAAG